CTTGCTTGCTTGCTTGCTTGCTTGCTTGCTTGCTTGCTTGCTTGCTTGCTTGCTTGCTTGCTTGCTTGCTTGCTTGCTTGCTTGCTTGCTTGCTTGCTTGCTTGCTTGCTTGCTTGCTTGCTTGCTTGCTTGCTTGCTTGCTTGCTTGCTTGCTTGCTTGCTTGCTTGCTTGCTTGCTTGCTTGCTTGCTTGCTTGCTTGCTTGCTTGCTTGCTTGCTTGCTTGCTTGCTTGCTTGCTTGCTTGCTTGCTTGCTTGCTTGCTTGCTTGCTTGCTTGCTTGCTTGCTTGCTTGCTTGCTTGCTTGCTTGCTTGCTTGCTTGCTTGCTTGCTTGCTTGCTTGCTTGCTTGCTTGCTTGCTTGCTTGCTTGCTTGCTTGCTTGCTTGCTTGATAGTGTGATTTTGAGATTGTGAGGCCAGCATCAATCCGCAGCCCTTGGTGGTGCCTTTTGATCATGATCCTTTGTGTGGACCCCACCAGGTGGCGATTGTGCCTCCCTTCTGATGTCCTTTTGGCTTCCGTTCACGTGATCCCCTTAAGCGGAGGAATCCAAATGGGTGTGCATGTCTTGTTGCCTTTGTTCTTCCCTTTTGTTTTCCCTTTGAAACCACCGAGCCATTGGGCTACCCTCGAAAAATGATCCCCAGTCCAAACGGGAGGCGAGACCTTCTTTGTGAAGGCCGAGCTGCGCGCAGCGGGGGGCAGCTGGGATGCCAAGCTCAAGGGCTGGATCTTTGAAACGGAGAAGCAGCTCGCCGAGGCCTGGCGCGCGGAGCTGGGTGGGGGTGGGGGGGGGTGGGGAATGGGATGGTTTCTATATGGGTTGCTGTTTTTTTTTTGTAAGCTAGGTGTGGAAGCGAAGCCAAAAGAACATGAACCATTTGTTAACACCCGTTTTTTCCCGTTGCGGCTTGAAACATCACCGTTTGGGGCCCTGTAAGATTAACTCGCCCTTGGGGGTGTTGAAGGGGACAGTAGGGAAGCCCATTGCGCAATCTATTTTGTTACACCCGTCGGTTCAATGAATCTCCTTTTGGTTCCCTTTCAGTTGCTTAAACAAATAAGTTGACCCCGCATGAATAACTCCCCGGTTGTTGACAATCCTGCATTATTTCGGAGGAACATCCTCCTAATCCACCAGTTTTATGAGTCCGGGGTCGACATTACACTCTCCGGAAAGGCAACCAGCGCCATCTGCCAGGCATGGGTGAGGAGCCAGACAGTGGTTCGCAAGACCAACATGCCAAATTGTGCGGTCTTGAGTTAAGCTACTCTCCTCAACAACCTCAAAAACATACCCTCCAAAAGGTCACACCCCCCACGCAAGAGGTGAAAGTTCCGCAGCTGGAGAGCGCAGGCCTTGCATTCGCCTGACATTGTGATGAAGAAGCTGCCGACAGCGTGCTCTCGCCTGGCTGTGCTGGTTGCTTTCCTGCATGGCGCTTCTCAATTGTGTCAGGGGTTTACTCGGGGTTGGCAAATGGATGGTGATCAACTGTTGATAGGGGGTTTGACAACTATTTTAGAGGCTTGTCACTTCCGGAACCTGATACCTTTGACCAGTCTCAACTCGTCGCAGCCGCTTCCTTTGACAGTTCCCAGCAGTTCCAGCCGGTTGGCTTTGCAAGGATCGCAAACCGGTGCGGCGGCGCCTGACCGGCAAGCAGCCTGGCAGGCAGAAGCCGGAAGACCCCTCAGTGACTCAGGCGCTGGTCGGAGGCACTTGATGGCATTCGTGGCATTCACCAGTTCCTGAACAAATGGCAGCCAGAAGGCTAAGGGGCTCGATGTTTGGCAAGGTGCTGTGCAGCTTCCTTGAAGAGACGTAGGCAACACTTTAGCCACAATTAAGCCATGGACCTCACTAAACGGAGACTGGCCGTTTGAGAAAGGTCAAACCGGCGAATGGCTCGTCACATGTTTCTCAAAATTGGGGACCCCCCAGGTGGCTTCCCCTATTGGTTTCCCTTTAAATCCATCCAAAAAGGGGTCCCCTATGTTGATAAACCTCCACATAAAGAAAGACCCAGTTGATTCGCCACGCTAGCGATATTGACGATGCCGAGGCGGCAATCACTGAAAAACCCCGCACCAACAGACGACAAGGACGCTGGTGACACTAATTGACTATTCAAGGAAAGCCAATGGTGCCAAAGCACCATACACAGGACTCATACACTGATGCAGAGACAGCAACAAAAGCCGACTATGAGTGACTTGCCAGTGAAGATCGTTTTGGGGCGATGACCTTTCCATAAGGTTCAGTCTAAGTCTCGGGCACTCACAAAGTCTCCAGCAAAGCTGAGGTTTTCCCATTATATCGGGATCGATGGGCCTTACAAAGCAGGCTTCAATATCTTTGACATGCAGGGACTAAGGTTAGGTCTTTGGGGATAAGGACCAACCCAGAGCTTGTGTGTTGCAATTTTCATATCGTACCGGCACGAACATGTTGCAACCTTTTGCTCTCTCAGGATGGGGGTGCCAGGCATGTAAACCTGAGACCCCGAAAATGGTGAGTTTTCCCCCTGTTTGCCTTTGAACGCCAACCAAAAGGGGGCCAGCCCGTTTTGGGGTGAGATGGGCCTTGCCGCTCAGGCAGAGCTCCCAAAAGCTGGTCACGCAGGTGAGGGTCGGGAAAGCTGACGCAACCGGACCCCGGTCCATTGGGCGGGTTGGGCGTTTCTACAGATGGTGCGACCCAACTAGTTAGGGGATACAACACCTCTTCCCAGGTCCCTTTTAAGTGCGCTTTGATTCTTTCTGGGGGCTACAACAGATGCAAACCGCCATGGCTTACGCGAAGTCAACAACAAGCTGTGCAAACGTATAAACGTCAGTGGTGGAATCACATACATGAGGCTCTTTGGTATCTTTTGGACAATGACAATGTCCCTACGAAGCACAACAATCCACATCTTGCACGGTGTGAAAGACCAATTCAAAGGGACCTCTCCTGGGTTAATTTATCAAAAGTAACAGTGACATCAACCATCTGGCAGGGTTTGTAGGCCCGTTTCATGTCAAAGCCACTATAGAAAATATTCAACCTCCTTTTGGTTTCTCTTTCGCAAAAAGAGTCAGGTTGTTTAAACCTCTCTTGCAACCAAGCCTTCCTTCGACGCACTCAGGGTTGACGTTTCAAAAGCCGCCAGGTGACGGAGAAAAGCTCCCGGAAGTTTGTGGCCAAGCCGGAGCAATCGGATCAGATGCAGAGCAGGGTGAAGCAGCACAAGGCGAGGAAGTAAATTTGAATGGGTATGGTCTCACAACAAGGGGCCCCCCAAATTGGTGCTGTTGCTTTTTGGGTTCCCTTTAAACCAACCCCAAAGAGGGTACCCTCCAAAAAAGCACCCTTATACATGTCAACACTTGCAAAACAGAGCTGCAGACAACATAGGCACAACTCGCGGAGATGGGGCCAAACCCGCGTCATACCAATCATAAGCTCTGAAATCCGCTCAACTTATGATGACTACATATTTTTGGGCATGTTGGCCGGGGTGCTGTTTTGTGGTGGGAAACCAGCAAACGAGCAAGAATGGCCAAGAGGTGCATCACCTCCTTTCGGCTTTCCTTGATAGGGAATCCGAAACTTGCTCTGTGGTGCCCAGCGTCGACCAGCTGGCGCTCTCGAGATCCTCATTGGCCATGGCCCTTGAAGACCAACGGCTGCATCCGTGCTCACGCGCCCTCACGGACAAGGACTAGGCCAAGGCGTGCGCTGTGGAGCTAGAAAACCACTCCGCGCTTGGCGGCCAGATGTTGGTGAACCTATGCCCGTGACGAAATGTTACTCCGGGTCGATCGTTGGGGTGGACATGGCAAGGTACAACGAACATGCAACAAGGAGTTGTGGGCATCATGGGGATTGATGCCCACCAGCCAATTTCGCTGGTATCTCCCACTAAACGGCCACAGCCTCGCATTGCAAGAGAAACAACCGACGCTGTGGCAAGTACCAGGAGAAACGTCCCTGACCCCTTTGGGTAAGTGGCATGAGAGTCGGGAAGCCCTCACTTGCCCTTCTCCATGTTGACCCCGTGGTGTTTTAGAGCTCCCAAGTTTTTCCCTTGTTTTCCTTTTCGAAGGTGGTTCGTGGCACATGTTACAGAGGAGTACAAATGCAATCAAGGGAAATTGTCAAGCTCCCGAAAAGCGCATAGTTCGATTTCGCTCCCTGTGTTTGACAGGTGCTGTGCGCGAAGTCTGGGAGGCACCTGGAGACTACCACGCTCACCAGGCAGGGTGCAATGCACACAGGCGCTTGTCCTTTACTGGGTCCCTCAAAGTGGTGGCATTTTGATAGGTTCTGAAAACAGCTTTGGGGGGTGGGGGTGTTGGCACTTCTCTATGAATCAACGTTTCAGAGGATGTCACTTCAATGCACTGTTTTTGGAGACTCCCTCAGGCAGCAGCGGCGGAAGGAAACAAAGGATCATGTGGTGGAGACCGAAATGCTGGTGCTCAAGCGAGTTCGCAGCTTTGGCGGATTGGGGGCTGGTGGTGTTTTTCTCCGTTTTTCCTGAATGCATGCAGTTGTTCATGCACGTGTTTGTTGCATGTGCTGCGAGCTATGAGGCATGCGTGCATAGCTGCAAGGCAGAAAATGACGGGGGAGAGTGCATGCCGGAGATGCGGCATCACAACGGCGAGTTGTGCAGTGGCTGCTCTCTGCATGTAGCCTGCAATCCAATTCGCGGAGCCTGTGCTTTGTACAGCCTGTGGAGGTTCGAATTGATCTGGGGAAAGCATGCCGGTATCCAGCAAACTGCCTGACCTGCCGAGTTTGGCTTTGGGAGATCTTGGGTAAGAGAATCTGGCGGGGTGCCTTGTGTGTCGTGTCTTGATCCCATCAAGAACAGGCCTTCTTACAAGCCTGGCGCGTCTTTGGGGCCCCTTCTGGTTGCATCGAATTGCTCTCTTTGGGCACATCAAAGGAGGTTTTTCTCCAATCACTCCGGAGGTCAGGCGGGTGACCTCTCCGTTCGCATGCCGCCAGTCCCGACGACAAGCCCGAGCCGCAGATGGCGCCCAGAGCCTCAGCTCGGGCAAAGGACCTCAAGTGGCATTCCAGTCTCGGGCAGTCGGAAAGGAGCTGTTGGCGGCTTTCTAGATGAAGACCACGAAGACACAAGCGCAAGGCATTTGGCTGTGGCACATGCCGGCTGCAAGCGCCTATCAGGGGCACGCGGCTTCAATACTCTAAATACCAAGGATGTATTATCTTTTACAGGTGCTTTGGATACAGAACATGCAATGCGCCACAGAATGCCACTTCGTGGCATGGCCAGGGGCATGCTATTTGCAATGCGATCCGGCCAACTTTGGCACATCCCGTTTGGGTTTGAAATGTCACCTCCTTTTGGGGACCTGATGGTTGTGGCACAGAAAGCCGACTGAAAGCTCAGCATCTAAGGGGTCCCTCATTTTAGGCCACCCCAAAGAGGGGGTAACCCAAAATAGCATTTCAAATTTGGGTTTTACAAAATAGGACCCCCCGACCCCTCAACCTTTGGGAACCCCAAACAGAAAGCCTACAACAGGAGCCCCCTAAATACCAGATACGATTCATTGGGCTGAAGGTCTGCGGAGCGGAAGGCGCTGCTGTCGCAGCTGGCTCCCAAGGCAAAGCCGACTTTTGAAGCCGATTTTTGAAGCCCCAAAACCGAGAAGGGAGAGTCCGCTAACTTAGAACCCCTTAGTTGGTGGTTTGTACCCCCAGTTCTTTTGAAGGGTAAATGGGAAACCACCCGCTTCATAGAGAGTCTTTCCTTCAGTGGTAGCCCGCAGTTGGTTCGGAGAGGACATGAATGCGGGGGGGGGGGGGAAGAGCAAACCGCCACGGTGCCCAATTTTTGTCAGGACCTTGCGTCTAGCTCAAGCGGCGGGCTTCCAGATCACACAAAACAGGGTTTCTGACAGATGCATGGCACATGATTCCAGGAAGCCAACTTTTGTAGACATTGTTATTCGCAACAAGGCATCTGCACAGTGGCATGCAAGCATTGAGCAACGGCTTCCTTCATCATAATGTGTTGATGACATCTGACCAGGATGCAGAAGCTCCACCTCTAGCATACCGGAATAGGTGCACACCCCTGTTTGAGCAAGGTCAGATAGCTTCGTGCAGAAGATGCTTCTGTGTTGTTAAACCCTCAATGATGCACATCGAGCCCCAATGCAGAAGCAGGTTTGGGCGCGAGAATCAGGCAATAACACATGCTTAGGGCCAGCGACGTATTTTTCTGTAGCCCAGGCTGGGCTTCAACTAGAACTAACATGCACGCAATGCTCTTGAACAACATGCACAGCAATCTCACTGCGTCCCAAGGTAAACATATGCATGTTCACTTTTGGTGCGGCATCGTCTTTGCTTTGCATGCAATACTTAAGAAAGCCAACGCTAAGAACAAGCTCTTCGCACATGGCGATGATCCAGACGCTTTAGACAATACACCGTCACTGTGGCATAGTGACTTGCACATATTGCTGATCATCCTGATTAAGCAGCTCAACTGTGTCACTGTCCATTTTATGGCCGTAGTTTCAGAAAATGCTACTCCATGCGCATTATATTATGTCCATGTACGAGCAGTCAAATTGCCGACCGCATAGATATGACACTCTAGCCTCAGTGCACCTAAGACACTTGTTGCTGCCACATGTGTTGGTTCCACATGTGCTGTTGGAAATGACCGTTACGGAGCAGCATCAACTTCTTTTGTTGTAGCTCAAGAGCTTAAGTACAACTCGACTCATGAGGGAGCCAACACTTTGATTTCATCAATCGCGTGTTTCTAATCTCGTATCATCACTGGCAGAACATGCTTGCCACTATGGAGCGGCTCCGTGCAAGAGCACATGCAGCAAACCCCAGCTCAACTTACGAGTGACATGGGACGGGACGCAGGAGCTGATTCAACCGTTGTCAATCCACATGCTACTCCATGTGCACCATATGCAGATGCGCCCACAAGGAAAATGCACATAATATCAAACCCCTTCTTCCACAAGTGTCGGTTCAAGGTTCTACTAGAGGTGAACCAAGATAGGGACCCGCGTAGCGTCCCTTTCTGTTTGTTTTGCCAGGTTGTGCGGGGGGGGGGGGGGGGTTGTCTAGCCATACTTGGTGTGTGGGGATGGGATGGGAGCCATGGCCCGCAGCAGCCAAATCCACGGGACAACACTGCGCATTGGGATTTGAGGTCGTCAGCAGCTAGGCTGCGTTGCTTTTTGCTGGCCACAAATCGGAAGTTGGTAAGTTGACGTTGCCCCCCTGCTAGTCCAAGGGGTAGAGTGGGTGGCGCCTTTTACTTGCCAGGGCAGGCAGAGGGCCATGACAAGGCCGGCGGGAGAATCGTAGCAACCTCGCAAGGGTCCGTTTGTTCTCAGATTGGTGAAGTATTGTATTTCTCGTAAAAGGCTGTATTCCCTCTTTCTTTTTTTGTGCGCCATTGAATGGCACTGTTTTCTATTGGCTTCCGGCGTGGACCTTTCCAGCTTGAGCCAAGTTTCTGGGTAAAGTTTCGCAACATCAGGGATTCCTCTCGTGTGGGTTCCTTTCCGACACCAACCAGAGCCGTTTGAGTCCGTGAAGCGATGCCAGGTTTGGCCGCTGGTCAGTCCCTGGCCTAGACTCCGCAAGGTCACCTCGCTTGAAACGCTGCTCCGAGGTGGCTGCTACACAAAAGCCCGCTCGCGGCAGCCCGCGGCTCAGCCTTCAGCCCCCCCGAATCCTCGTTGGCGTTTTAGCCTGTCCTACCTTGGTGAAACGGAAGGGCCAAGGCAAGTTCTGGTGGGACCAAAGGCTAGTATGGCTGCCGTGCCGCAGACTCACCAAGTTGCCAAGTGGGGTGTACTCACCAAAATCAAATTGTCAAGGATTGCGGAATGTCACTTGTGTGAACCCTCCTTACGCGAGACACAGCAGTCATAAGGATGACTCGTGGTGTCTTTGGATGAACGTGAACATTCCACGATTGCAGGGCACACGTTCACTGAGGCTCGAAGAAGCCCGAGCCGGGCGAGAGGGACCGCCGCTTTGCACCACACCTCCAGGGAAAGTTCCGCCCGGCTTGGGGTTTTCAACCGAACATCAGCTTAGTTAGGATGGTGTCAGCAGGAGTCATTGAGAGGATCACGGAAGTCGGTGAGCTTTTTCCTCGCATTGACTCGTGTGCGGCAGGCTAAGGAGCGTCTCAAGTAAAGTAGCACTTCCCTTGGGTGACTTTTGAAGCGCTCTTTGACTCTGCTTGTTCAAACAGTTCTACTCTCTCACCCAAGATGGAAGCTAACGAGGTGAACCCACACCCTCTGAGTAGGTGCGAAGTGTCGATGTTTTCAAGAGTTTTCCCGAAAGCATGGCGAAGGGTTCTTCCGCTGGGTTCACTTGAGTTGTTCTCATGAGAGTCATTACAAGGTGTCATTGCAAGGAATCATCATCATGAAAGTCATTGCAAGGAGTCATTGCAAGGAGTCATTGCAAGGAGTCATTGCAAGGAGTCATGAGAGTCACTGCAAGTTGCAAGGAGCCAAGTGCATGGAGTCAAGTGCAAGTTGCAAGTGCACGGAGTTAAGTGCAAGTTGCAAGTGCAAGGAGCCAAGTGCAAGGAGCCAAGTGCAAGGAGCCAAGTGCAAGGAGCCAAGTGCATGGAGCCAAGTGCAAGTTGCAAGTGCATGGAGTCAAGTGCAAGTTGCAAGTGCATGGAGTCAAGTGCAATTGACTTGCGAGGAGTTAAAATCTCTTCTTGGGCGGCGGGGTAGTGCCAACGACACTACACGAAAATCGACCCTCTGCGGGGATCGCGTGGTCGAGGTGCAAAAACTCGAGGTTTTTTGCGATTTTGTTTGGGCTCGCGCGACCCTCTGCGGGGATCGGCGTGGTCGAGGTACAAAAACTCGAGGATTTTGCGATTCCTGCGGTGCTCGCGCAACCCTCTGCGGGGATCGGCGTGGTCGAGGTACAAAAACTCGTGGTTTTTTGCGATTTCTGCGGTGCTCGCGCAACCCTCTGCGGGAATCGGCGTGGTCGAGGTGCAAAAACTCGAGGATTTTTGCGACTTTTGTTGTTCGAACTGGTCCTCGGGAGTTGTCTCGTGGTTCGCGCGCCTGCTCCTGGGACCGGCGGGTCGCGGGTTCGATTCCTCCCTGGTCCGCGGGCGGGCGTCGCAAGATGCAACTTGCATAAAGCAACTTGCGCAGAGCAACTTGCGCAGAGCAAGTTGCACTGCCAACCAGTTTGCGCAGAGCGCCTTGCCTAGAGCAACTTGCGCAGGCCCGAAAGCATAACATCGCAAGCGAGGTCGGCCCAACGCTGCAGGATGCGTTCTTTTTCCCTACGCGAAGCATTCGTGAAGCAAGCGCGAGACAGCGCCAGGCAAGGTTCTCTGCGCAAACTGGTCGGTGCAAGTTGGTCTGCGCAAGTCGCTCTACGCAAGTTGCACTGTGCAAGTTGCTCTGCGCAAGTTGCTCCGCGCAAGTTGCTCCGTGCAAGTTGGTCCCTGCAAGTGGCTCCCTGCAAGTTGCTCTGTGCAAATTGCTCCGTGCAAGTTGCTCCCTGCAAGTTGCTCTGTGCAAGCTGCTCTGTGCAAGTTGCTCTGTGCAAGTTGCTCCGCGCAAGTTGCTCAACCGTGGTCTAGTTTTTTTTATCATACCCACTGTCAGTACGGCAGCCGAGACTCTGATGTGAGGAGCCCTCGGTGGATTCCCTGTCGGACGGGCTAGGGCGCCCAAGGCACACTTGGAGCAATACGCGTGTCACATCTTAGAGGGTGTCGGGCTTTGGTGTTTAACCTCCAAAGCGTTTCCGTGTTCTTGGACATGGCGTATCTCACCAGGTGAAGGGTCTCGTTTTTTTGATGGTTTGCACGACGCCAAGAGAAACCATACCATTGGGGTCAAATCCTGAGACAAACCAAGTTGACCAACCCCCTGAGCGATGCTGAGGCCCAGCACCGACAGCTACGAACTCAGGCATCGCCCGGGTGGCTTACGAGATCTGGCCGATGGGTTGCTTGGCTTTGGACATGGGCGGCCTCCATTTGGCCGTTCTTTCAAAGCCAGAGACCAGGCAGCTGGGCGTAGCTGGCCTTTAAGTGGCTGAGGGGGGAGTTTTGCAAACGACAAGAAGCTTGCTGGTGCCATTTGCTTTGGAAATGCGAACATTTGTGTTACTCTGGTCAAGGCATGATATTGATGTCGTCCTCTATCGAAGTTCACTCTCACTTGACACCGAGCTGAAAGATGCGCCATTCTCGCTTGACATCACACATCAACGTTCCGTGCCATGGGGATCTGGGGTTCGACCCTGCGTGCACTGGAGCCAGGCGAGAGCGGAGGCCATCAAATGCATCGGTGGACCATGCTCAGGTGCGGAAGACAGCAGTTCTGAATGTGGCTGGCAAGGCGCCCATGGGCAGCCTAGAGACCATTAATCTCTGTTTGGAGGGCCTTGTTTGTGGAACACATTGTGCACAACCTCACACTTCCCGGCATGATGGTCAATTGTGTAACCTTGCGTGAAAGGTGAAATTTGGAAGTGACTTGGGAGAAAATCCCTTCTGGGTTTATTTGAATGGAAAACCAAACGTTTTTGACGTTCTCGCATTGTGAGACAAACGCAAAGAAAACTCAGAAACTCTGGCCAAAGTGACGCGCGTGTGTTTCGAATCTTTGTTTGCTGGGATTAGGTTCTGTGGTTCTCAGCTTTTTGTCTTGGCCTGTGGAAGATGGGTATGTAACTTATTGGGTAAAACTCGGTAAAACCCTAAATGAAGCTCTTACCCATATTCTCAAGCTCAAAACACCCATCATGTGGTCTTCAGCATTTGTGCTGGACACGGGCCTTTGACATCTCCGCCCGAATAGCCCTTTATACGGGGGTTGCATGGGATCACCATTACGGGACACCACGAAACATAATATGACATTTCCCAAAATATGGGAAAAGTTACAGGGGGCCAGGAATATTGACCAACCTCCACATGTATTTTGATCAGGTTTTGATCATGACTCCGCTAGGCAACCCCTCTCCCCTCTCCCCTCTCCCCTCTCAGGATCTGGGCATTTGGTCGGTGAAGACTCCTGAGCACCGGTCTCTGCTGCTGCGGGCATCTCAAAAGCCAGGGGATCGAGCCCGGGTTGTTCAGTTCGATGCTGGCTGGTGGGAGCTTGTGACGCACGGGGTCGCGCTTCTGGTTGTGTCTCTTTTCCACCTCAAAGATGCGCATCAGGAATGATATTCAGCACCTAGACGGGAGGTTGCCGCTTGTGCTTTGATCATATGTGTTCTACTGTCATGACCCAGCAACTGCCAACCAAGATTCTGGTCAACACCCCCGAATGGGGGAGCGTGGGAGCGTGAAGGGCAGTTGCGATCGGCCCTTTCGACCTTTCATTGCACGGGGAGTGATGCTTCCTTGGCACACTTTGCACCAAGCCCTGGCTTCACTCCCTTAGTCGCCGTCCCCATTGCTCTCTCATAGCCAATGGTCTGGACTTCCACGTAGGAAAAGCAAGCCGCCGTTTTGGGCCCGTCTTTTTTGGGCCGCGCTCAGGGTCCGCGGATGCCGGACGAAGCTCACTCAACGATTCGGAGGTGTTGACAGAGCATACATCAGGCCTGGCGCGAGATGCGGCATTTCCTATTTGGCTGCTTTCCTGGGTTTCCAGTTGCAGAGTTAGGTTGCTAACTGCCATCTAGGAAGGCGTTCTCTCGCTCTCTGTATATTGAACTTGCAGCCTGCAATCATCTTCTGATTCTTTTCGGAATATTGGCATGATGAAACCTGGACTCCTTTTTTGGGGGTACCTGCTCCCCTGAAACCAGTCGAGTGGAGGTGTGTGCCAGCGCTCTCTGGCATGACTGCAGAGATCTTCAGCGACCTCGTCAGCATGCCCAGGCCCCGGCACTGAAGGGCCCTGATCCTCAAGACGGTCTTGGCAAGACGGTCTTGGTGGTCTTGATGGCGAGTTGAGAACCGTCCAGGGCTCTCCTCCAAACCACCGGGCCCCAAGACAACCAGGGCTCCATCAAGCCCGAGCGAAGGAGGTCTTGAGCCAAGGATGGGCTTCGGCACCAGCGAGGCTTCGGAGATGCCCGTTGCCTTAGCTTCGGTTGGTTTTGTGTCTGAGTTCGGTAAGGGGTTGGTCTGAGGTTGGCTCAGGGTTGGGTATGGGGCAAAAGGAAATCACCAGGATATAGACCGCACGTTTTAGTCCATGTTTCCATTTACCAGGGTTCCTATTCTTGACCCACACCCGGTTTTGGTCGTAGCAATTGCAAGCTTATTGTCGAGCACCCCGTATTTTTCGGAGGATATCGCCGGAGGACCTTTTTCAGCAACCACAAGCATACCAGTAGTCTATTGTGAGTTTGGGCAGGGCATTGGGGGAACCACAGGGCCCACCCGATTTGCTGATGTCCTCTTGGGAAAACAGTAACTTTTGTCTGGGGCTGACGCGATCCTGTGTTCCGTGTTGCTCCCACGAGGACTGGCAATACTGTAACATATATATATAAAGCATACACAAATGTATTGTATTGTTTGTGTATTTTTTGTATTTGCAGCGTGCTGTTTTCATCTTGGTTTAACGGGAAGCCGTTTTTGAGTCTTCACATTTTGACACTCCGAATGGCCGGTGCAGCTCCATCTTGAAAGTGAGACAACAAGTCGTCCAGTCTTGATACATCTGTTATTGCTCTGTACATCCTGGGTTCAATGCTGTTACTCTGAGTGCGCAACAACCAGGTGAGATGGCATGTTTCAATGTTATGCACCTGTTCAGCAGTCAACAGCGTCTTGCGGACAGCCGGCTGCCTCCGCATTTGGTGGGGGCCTTGCCGGAATGAGGTACCAACTACTACTCCGGAACAGGTCTGACAAGAGAAGGTGCGCCCACGCTTAACCAGTTGTGTGGATACAGTGCCAATAGTGCTTGGATACCCTTGACTGACCACGCACCGGTTGTTCCCACGTCCAGTCGCCAACACCGACCAGTGACCAGTAGGTGAGACTCCTGGTGTTGCGAGGTCGGAAGGCGGCCCGGAGTACTGTGTACTTGGACCTGAATGACTCGACTCGGCTCAAAGCTTGTGATCAAGACACAGCTCCTCCTTGGAGGGCAGACCCCTGTTGAGGGAGTTGCACAGTTGAATGGCTATCATGCCGATTTATGTCCATGCAATCTTCCCGTTCAAACCGAATGGCACAACAGCAAGCAGTAAGGAGCAAAATATGGCCAGCACGATACAGGCGTGGATGTCCCTTTCGAGAAAAGACATGCGTGGGTGTGAGGTGACGCACTTCCAATCCAGCGCCATGGAGGACATTCTGCGCCAGTTCCATGAAGCTTCTGACCGTTTGGCAGGTCTTTGTGTGGTTGGGATAGTGGATGGGTGGCGGTGCCAGCACCAGGACCACCCCATGCCCAACCGACTGCAGAGCCCAGTCCGGGGCCGGCCAAGGAAGCTGCCTACGGTGAGGAGTATGATGCGGACCCGTGCATTGCCGAGAAGGTGCTGGCGGAAGAGATACAGGAGCCTTCAGACTCTGAGGAGCCCACGCAGCCAGCAGAGAATACGCAGGCATCACAGGCACGCCTCTTGCTGCCCGAGAACCGATGCCGCCTTGCCCGACGTTTCGCACGTCATCAGATGGTGGTGTTGAGCATGAAGATTTCGGAATATGATGCAAAGTTTGACCCTCAGCGAACTGTTGAAGAGCTCCAAGCAGAGATCTTCGCCGACCTTGGAGAAAATTCCAGACTCTCAAAGGTTGAGTAGCTCAAGAGAAAATGTGAGACGAACCGGGTAGACGAGAGTTTGCAGACGAAGATAGGCCTTGTGGCACACGCGCATTTCCGCGGGGTGCCCATGCTGACCATCGACACCTATTGTTTTCGCGGGCTGACGAGACAGATTTTGGCTTGCATGAAGCACCTCGCAGATGTGGCGGGGCTAGATTTCGAAGCAACTTCAATGAAATTGACCAAGAATCTAAAGTCCAAGCCCCACAGGGACCAGAATAACAAAGGTCCCAGCTTGATCCTCGGGTTTGGAAAACTGGACGGGAGGAGAGACCTTTGTTCAAGATGATGATGGCCCAGATAGCTACAAACTGGAGGAAGACATCGCGCGAATTGGGAAGCGGGGCGAAGTCTTGCAAGGATTCAAATTCGACATACACCGGCTGCAGTTCGATGGAAACCAAGTCCATTGCACTATGGCCCTTCAGGGTACACGTTACACAGTAGTGCTCTCACCTGGCCGAAGCCACCAGCAGACGGGACTAGCTCAAACATTCTTGCAGCTCAGGTTTCCCCTAACTTCTGCAAAGTTCCAGGCCCAGATTTTGATGGGTTGGCCCAGTGTGCTCTTGAGGGATCTCACCTTGACGACGAGCAAAGCCGCCACATCCCCCTTGGGGGCGCCTGCGGGCACCTGAGTCGGCGGAGCCAGCCGAGTCACCCGCAAAGCGTGCTCGTGCGGAAGGTTTGGACAAAGGATATGCTCCAAACCTTGACGCGCATGAAGCTAGGCAAGAAATTGAAGCCCAGTTGGGACTATATAGCTCGAACTCTGAACGTGACCAGGCAGGTGGCCAAGGACAGGTGGGAGGAAACTCGATGGCAGTGCCAATTGAAAGAAAAGCGAGCTCATTTGCCTCAGGTGCTAGAGCTTCATCTATTTTCAGCAATTCTTATCGCCAGATGTTCTAAGTTGGCTATTGGGCATAGCTGGGTCTGACAAGGGGGAAATGCGACACTTTGAGCAATGAAATCAGCATTTCGGCGTGGGAGTTGTGTGAAATAGCCATAGCCTTTCCGGGTCTTTGGTGTTGACTGACGCCTGACCCCTTTGCTGTTCATGACCAGGCGACCATCTACAGGACGGGCGGGAAGGGGGCCAGCAAGATGTGTGAGCTGATTGGTCGCGGCATGAAGGGTCGCTGCTGGACCATGCAACATGCCACAGTCTTGTGCCAGGGGTCGCATAGTCCCTCTTCCGGTCTCGACCTGTTTGTCTTGAAGCTAGGTCCTCCCCCCCCCTCCCCCAAATTGGTTTGTTTCCTTTTTGGTTTCCCTTCCGAACCAGAGACACAAAGGTCCCCTCCTGTTTTTTGTACCCGAATCCTCCGGACCTCTGGCCTGTTCCAGGCAAGGGGAAGAATGAGCCCGAGGCGCCGGCTCCAGCTTGATGGGTCGGGGATCGGAACGGAAGGAAGACCGAACCCTGCTTGGATTCTTGGAAGGAATCAATGGAAGACAGAAGAAGTCAGATTGGAGATTTGACAATCTGTTTTCTCTAGGGGAGGAATGGCTCAAAAAGAAAAGGCTCCAACAGAAAACAGACCGATGTGTCGGAGAAAGGTTGGATTGCCGGGTATTTCGAGCTTGTTTTTGTGCCAGAGTTGAATTGCACGCCCTTCCATGCCACCCACACCGAGCTTCACAGAATCTCCTTGAACATGCTCTTGTAGGGGTGTTGCTTCAGGTTCCAGTTAGCGTGGCAGGGCTCGGGCAGAGCTCTTGCGAGGAAGCACTGGACCGAGCGGAGTTCAATGAGGCTGGGCCCATTCGGATCGAAGGAGTCTCAGGTTGGGGCCCTCTTGGGGGGGTTCTTAACAACCATGATGCGCATGCAAGGTCCTGCGCCGGCTGACACCTGTGAGGAACCTGGTCCAGCTTCGCAGGAGGCGGGTCTTTGCTGAGTGAGTCCATTGATGAATCGATTCTCTCCGCGCAGGCTGCGCAGGAGGTATGGCTTCTGCGAGGCGTGATGCACCCGTTCGTTCCATCGTCAAGCCGCGCTCGCAGCCATGTCGCGTAACACCCAGCTCAACTTCCTGGTTGTGTGATGTTGTGTGACTCTTTCAGCTTTCTGGATCTTTGACCCGGTGTGAGGCCATTGTGACGGCTGCCTTCGGGAAACAGCAGGCCGGCTCTCGCCACCCGAAGCCCCGGGTGCCAACTCTTGTGCCCCAAAAGTGGTTGTACCGCTAACCAAGTTATGACAGAACCCCGTTTCAGGCCCCTCGAGTGCCCTTTGATTCTTGAGAAGGGGGTTGCAAGACATCTCAACCTGCCATGGGTTCGCTCCACTTTCACCGCGTGAGGCACTGAGCAAGGAAGGCTTCCGCGACTTTATGGTGAACAACGGGATCACCGGCCATGAGGCGGCGAAAAAGCTGCGCAACACATCGAGGGCTGAAAGTTGAGCTGCTTGCAGGCCTTTAAGCTCTTTCGGAAGGTGGTGCAGCACAATGAGACGCCAGGCAGATTTTTGTTTCTTTCACGCCTGACGATTGAAAGACATGCATTGTGCGGGTAGGTGATGAGATAGATGCAGGTGGGAGCCTGTGCGTTGGTGCGCTTCGTATGGATGCGGCCATGATGTTGGGGCACGGACTGTTTTCCCCGTGATTCTTGCCAGGTGCCCATGAGGATGGCGAGCACCAGCAGGACGCGAACAAGAAGCAAGAGCGAAACTGCATGGTAAGACTGAGTATTGATGTTCCGCCGATTGGCCGGACGAAGTTGCAAGAACAAAGCGCCACAAGTTGCCGATCAGTCATCAGTCGCCTCTTGCAACTTGCCTTGAGGAGGTCTCACGCTCCGCGTTCCTGAGCTGCTTGCTTCATGCTCAAGGCCAGCATGAAGCGGAGATGTCCAGGCGTAAAAATGCACGATCCCTCTGTACAGACCGGATTTCATTCGACAGACACTTAATAATGTTTCCTATGCCTATGCACACACACACGCACGCACGCACGCACGCACACCAAGTTATTTTTGGACAGATTTGATCCTTCTCCAGTTGCTGTCGGTCGGCCGCACCACGAAGGCCTTCAGGCGGCAGAGACGATGCGTGCGGAACTCGTGGAGTTGATGACTAGCGCGGAGACCCAAGGCTAGCCAGGTTCGGTCTGAACGTGTCCAAACTTGGACAACCGTCATCTGCAAATATTCCCATTGAGGCAAGCAACAACATGTTCGGGGCTTTGGCAGATGAAATAGGCCATCCGCACGTGTGCTGAAGCCGGAATGGCGTCTTCTGCAAATGGCAGTGACATGCTCTGTGTCCCAAGCCGTGAAGTCCGGAAGCTCCCTGGACAGCATTTGTTGCAACAGGAGATAGCGACGCGGCGTAGCCTCTCAGTGTCCACCCAAAAGGATCCAGCCCAGGGAAAGTGTTGACTGTCCTGGTTCAGCTTCGAGGACTTGAAATCGTCTCTGGAAGGCAGCTTTGAGTTTTCACAATGGGCCGCAACACAGTTCACAAGAGTCTCCATCCCCCGAGTCTCCCACCCGCGCTTCATTCCCCCGCTTCCCTAGGAACCCAAGTGAGGTCCTTGCCCCGTTCCCTTCGCTCCCGTTTGAGGCCGCGGGGGCTCCAAGGGCCTGGCCTCCGAAAGCCGGGGCCGGCGCGCGGGGGCGCTGCTCACCAGCGAGCTGCTCAGCACGCTGCTCCAAGGCGCAATCGGGGAGCTGGGAGTGGGC